TATATAAATCCTAATAAAATTCCTGTTAATACTTTGACTGATCCTTTGTTTTGATTGCCAATCTAAATCTCTTGATATACTTCTGCAGTATGAAAGGAAGAAAAAGATCTTAAGAGTGTCAACTATTGACTCATTTTAAGCGCTCCTCTTAAGTAGTTACAGTATATTACAATGAGATGGGACTTTCAATCGGTAAGCTGAATTGACAGACATTATTTCTTTGTAATGTGAATGAAAGTTCGGCATATCTTGTTGCTTAAGCAGATTCTGATTGATTTTGTGTCATCAACATTGCAGAATATGCGAATGAATTACTGGTACACATTTCGATAAAATATTTTTGTATCTTTCCATGTTACGAATGAACATGGTTGGATGATTAATCTTCTTATTAACAGCATGTGCCAGTTACATAAATCGTAAGTGATAAAGTGGGTACAAGAGAAAATTAGGTGAAGTAGGTCCTTCCTCTACTAATACACAATAACATCAGTTAGCAAATAAGGTTTTGATAAACATTTTTGAACTTGGTATTTTGGAATTGAACTTAGAAGCTCATGAAAGGGATCACATTTCTCTGTACCCATATGCAATATGACGTTGATGGTTGGTTGTTAAGACATAAGGTACCTCATCTAGAAATCGAACCTTGTTTTGTGGCAAAACATTAGAATTTGATAAGTTTTCTATGGTGCTTACTTCTCTACCATTTGTACTAGACAACTTAAACGAACATGTATTATTGGACAATTGAGTTTAAACGAAGACGTAACTCAACTTAATTTGAATACAAATTTTGAAACGCTTTGAATAAATATTGTTGATCTTCGGCATCATCCTAGCATGTATACGTGAATAATGGTCTGACCAACAACCACAGAAAAAGTGACATTTTAAAAAAGTGTCATAAACATCCAGACTCTAATTGATTTTGTATAATCAACTTTACATTACGTAGGATTTTGAATTAGAACATGTAATACAAATTCCGACAAGAGATTTAAGGATTTTTCTTGTCCCAAATTATAACCAAAATACGTCCCACAGGATGCTGCACTCCTTCAGTTGCAGAGATGATCGGTCTGCAAATATCAATATGTCCGCCTACCAAGCGAGGTTAATAATTGCTTTAAAATAAACTAGGCCTAAAATGCCATTCGGGATCTTTTGAGGGATGGTTCCAATTTCAATTTAGTCACTTCGGCCTTTAAGCAACGTTTGTTTACACTGAACCGTTTACAAGTTTATAGTATGTTATGTCAACCTACTATTCTTGGAAGTATGTATCCAAATATGCAATATAGATGGGCAATTCCATTTGAAAAATGCCAAAATCTGTCAATTTTTCTAATCCAGGTGTCAAATCATTCAAAAGGCGAAATCGAATCGTTGACTTAGGTACGATGAATCTTTGACCTCTGCATATCAAACCATATAAAGCAAATTAATCATATTTCTGTTTCCATGTCAGATGAAAGTAAATTATGAGTGACTTATTATGACTAACCTGTGCATAGTTTCACTGAGATCAGCAGTTTCTTAATAATAGAAGGTCTTTCACTGACACCAAATGTCCAACAATTCACAGCTATTTACCGCATATAGCTTCCAACCTACAATTTTCATACCCTCCAAACACACTATGTTCTAGTGGTTTAATTCCCGCCGTCTCTAATTTAATTTTCAAAATCTACGGCTACCTGAGCGATGGAAGTATTAAACTCGATAATTTTTCAACTTCGGTTCACAAATTTTCCGTTGGTTAAAGATATCTACATCACACAAGTGTTTCTCAGTCATGTCAGTTTGTCCGTGTCTGTTGTATATCAATATATCATAAATATTCACTCAATCTATTTGACGAAATATTCAAAGAACGGAGTAACACAAATCAAAGGTTAGGCAGAATATATGTGTAAATATAAAAACAGTTGAGTAATCACAAAAGCATCCCAGAACGCTGAAGTGGTACGTACTCCTAATATCCAAACATTCCTAAAATATATAAATATTTCTCCTGTAGTGGTGTGTCAGTGACAACACCATCGCAGACCAGTTGGAGTTTGTTACCCAGTGCACAGTCAGCAGTGGCCTCCAAGATGAGGCAGCGTCGCATCGTGCACTCAACGCCAACGATTGCCAAGTTAGGGTCTCATTATACATCGGACTTTTATCATTTAATTTTCCCCGTTTATACCGGGATCAGTAGCTCCTTAATGACAGAACGTCTTTGACTGATACTAAAGATGTTACACTTATAACCCTTACACCCCCAACCATCAAGCTGCAACCCCTACAAACAATTTTGCGAAAATGATCAGGAGCCACTGAAACGTCAAAAACCTAGTTTAAGCGATTTTGTTATATTTTTGCCCCTAGCTCCACCACCACTAGACCGATTTTCAAAAACTACAAAGCTTTTTTATCCCTGACAAACTAGTAACCCTGTGTGAAAATTTTATCAAAATCCGAGTTATTGGCGGTTATCAAATTAGTGGACAGGCCGACAGACAGACAGGCAGAGCCACCGACGGAATTGATATGATTTTTCGTGATGTGAAAAAAGTTTCATATAAAATGGGGTTCAAAATGGCATTTTTTAGAGAAAAGCGACTTTAAAGTTAAATAAAATCTGACAACGCCGCAATGCCAGATGGAAATTACGACGGAACGCAGTGTAAATAAAGATGGAGTTTGTTATTTTTGGCTCTTAGGTATTATTTCATGATTTGATAATGTACTCGTAAAATGCAAACAATTAAAAAAAAAACGGACTAACCACTAACTGTCTCAGCGCTTCACCTGGTGTGTGAAAGTTTATTGAACGTATTAAAGAAAAAATTTATAAATAGGGAACACAATTTTGATACATACATTGTTTTTCTTTTTAAAACCCACACTACACTTTTTTTGTATTTAAAGGTGTTCTAAATGCCGTCCTCCACTTTCCACACAGGGTTCATTACGACGAACCCAGTTTTTTCTTACTCTAGGCCCTCGAAGTTGTCCATTTATTATTTCAGCCGCATTAAAAGTTTTTTCGCGAAGATGTGCTTCAGTTGTTATTGGACCAGCCCCATAAACCATACCTTTAAGTTCTCCCCAATACCAGAAATCCATCGGATTGAGGTCAGGAGATCTTGCTGGCCAGTTTCGAGGATCAGGACCATTTCGACCGAACCAGCGATTTGGATAATGTTCATTCAAATACTGAATGGCGCCTCTAAAAATGTGTGGTGGTGCCCCGTCATGAAGAAACCACAAATTCTGTCTCCGTTGTAATGGCATGTTGTCTAAGGTCTGTACCAAAAGTTCTGATAGGTTATTGACTAGAAAGCTAAGGTATGTTCTCTTGACAACTTTGGGGGTAACTCGAAAGGGCCAATTACCTGATCGTCAAGAATACCCGCCCACATATTTATTTTAAAACGGTGTCGGAAATGACCTTTACGAATGGTATGAGGATTCTATTGCGCCTACGTGTGAGTATTATGGAAGTTTAATATCCCGTCTCGCGTAAAAGTACAGTCGTCCGTCGCTAGAATGTTATTAAAAAAATCCGGATTTTCAATGTTTTTGTGTAAAAACCACTGACACAATGTTAGTCTGCGAGTATAGTCTTCTGTTAACAAGGCCTGCACTCGTTGTACATGGTAGAGATAAAGCAAACTTTCCCGTAGGATTCTATGGACTATGGTATGCGATAGTCCTACGCGGCGGCCTAATTCCTGAGTGCTGATATCTGCATTGATTTCCACGATATTTAAAATTTGTTCCTACTGCTCTACAGTAACCTGTCTTTCACGAGTGCGAATATTAGTGAGCTGAACACTTCCTGAATCTCGAAGTCTTTGGTACACTTGCACAAATGTCCTTCACCCTGGGTGTACCCGTTGGCTAAATCTGTCGCGATAAATTTGAGATGCAAGATTTGAACTCTGTAAATCAAGACGACGACGTCTGCGAACAAAAACAAAACAACATACTAACCACTGTTACCCTTTGCGATCAATTGCTGGTTCGATAAGAGTGATGATGACCGACGCGCTGTTGCCATGTGTGTATTAAATATTCAATTTAATGAAACTTACTTAGTTACTGACTATAAATTTTGGCTTAACTTAGAAAAACGTAATGCCATTTATTTGTTAATGATCCAATTTAAAAACGTTTTAGATTAGATTATAAAAATTAGTAAGATTCTGGTGATTGTGGTCGATATAAGGCACTTAAAGTTGTAAACTATAAAGCCATTTATACAAAAATCTATTGACTTTTGGACCATGGGTCATATGAATAATGACTACCATAACTTTTACACCCTGTATAATATCCAAAAACCATAATACCTCAATTTTTGCGATTATAGCACCTCCTCACCAGTTTTCACACAGGAAGTAAAAATCAGGTAGAATAAAAGTAAAACGATGTGTGTACAGAAAAGATGAAGAACAAGTTTCACATGATGTTACAAACGAATCCACAATAGACATTCCATCACATGTATGTCAAAGAAACAGACAAAAAACCTTCGGTGTACTTCACGTTGTAGCACCGAAGTAGATCACAAACATCTCGAAATAACCAGACAGACAGATAGACAGACCAACGAAAACGAGTGATATGGTTTTTCGTGATGTCATACGCCATGAAAACAAAATATATAAGATTCGGAAATTTTAGAAATAACAGTCACTGCCTCGCCTATTGATGTGGGAAGTAAAAAGTAGCAAAACACATAGGGACAAAAGCAAAGCAAACACGATGAGACACTCCTTCACGACTTCAGTTTTCTTCAAGGTTTTCAAGAACGATTTAGATGAACCGCCATCAGGGAACTACCCTCACGCGTGGGAAGTCAATATTACGTACGACCTTAAAACTGTAAAAGACGCAGTACATCCTCCACAGGATGTTACCAAACAATCCGCAATCAACATTCCATAGTTGTACATGCCAAAAGATTCTCACAAAAATCGTCGTACCGCGCGTTGTAGTACCAGAGCAGAGCACAATATGTGGAGTAATTATGGCTAGGTACGCGGCTGGCGGTACGTTCAAGCTCGAGGCGGTAATCTAGGATTCTGCAATCAGTGCAACAGAACCAAGAGCTCATCTTCCTCCCGTTTGGTACTACCAGCGATATAAAAGGAAAACCGCCGAATCTCGGTACCACACTCACAGTGCATATTAACATCTGACATGAAGCAAGTAAGCAACATTCTATTTTGCATGTTTTTGTAACCGCGTGCAGGGTGGAGGGTACGGTAATAGTGCAGTGAAATTGTGCTTTCATCCCCACATTTATGGATATACGCTTAATCATCTCATGAGTGGTAAGGGATTGAAAGAGTCTACCCTTCATAAAGGGTAGACTTTTAGTGCCTGGAAGGAGCGTTGCCCTTAAATGAAAACATAAAAGACTATATGCTCCCAACATAGAATCACACAATTAAAGTTATAGTTTCTAGATAACAAATTTAAGTATGACATCGAAGCAAATACACGTTCTAATTTGCATGCCCTAGTAACATGCAGGATATTGAAGGGATGATTCGGTATGGTTATAGTGCAGTGAAATTGGGATATTGGGATTATACGCTTGGTAATATGGAGCACCGATCCTAAATAAGAACTCCAAAAAACGGTTCTTGGCACGCCACCTATCGGTATTTGCGAGATATTTTGAATTTATAGTTTTTTAACGGTTGTCCTATAGTTTACTACACATTTGCATGTGTTTTTTCACAGGGAGAAAATTAGGGTACAATGAAATTGTGCTTTCAACCTCACATTAATAACAACTGGTATGGAAATCCAGGAAATAGAGTTAATTATTATTATTTAGCAGTTAATTCAAGAAAATATCACTAATAACTATCATCTAAGTTGTACAATTTTCCGTATCCTTCACAAGAATTTTTATTTCGTTCGTCATTTTTGGAGAGACGACAATTTTTTGCAAAAATACGGCACACTATATTCGCATTACAAGGAATAAAGTGTAAGAAGCGTCTTCGATATCACGAATAATTAAAAGATGCTTTATCACCAAATAAAATCTTAATTATTGTTTATCCCAACTGGTTTAAGTCTCTTGTTATTCTAGATTTTCTGAATAAACGGAAAAATTGTCACTGTATAAAGTGATTCGTAATTTCGCCATTTTACTTGTTTCAGTGCATGTGCTTTGGAAAATGGTAATAATTCAGTGTGTATGTAAATATATTCGCTTTTCGCATAAATGCGTCAAAGAAAGAGAAAATCTGCCAGAAAATGTGAACCATAAAAGTGGTCAGACAAACTAGGTGTAGTACTAGTCTACTGTAAAAGCAAACAGTCGCACTATAATATATTGATTGTTCTACACTAAATGCCAAAAATTTGAATGCCTTAGTAACCGCGTTCAGGATGATGAAGGGATGATACGGTACGGTTTCTCACAACGAGAAAATTAGGGTACATGAAATTCTGGTTTCAACCTGACATTAATTACAACTGGTATGAAAATTCAGGAAATAGAGTTAATACTGGATATTATTGTAGAGAGAGTAGTAAGTCATAAATAAATAGTATCTTTTAGCAGCTAATTCAAGAAAATATCACTAATAACTATAATGTGAGCTGTACAATTTTCCTTATCTTTCACAAACATTTCTATTTTGTTCGTCATTTTTTGGGGAAGCCACATTTTTTTTCAAAAATATGGCCCACTATGTTCGCTGCAAGACAAGCAGTAACGTGTAAGAAGCGTGTTCGATATAACGATTAAAAGATACTGTCTCACCAAATAAAATGCTAATTATTATTTATCCTATATATAACTGCTTTAAACCTCTTGTTATTGTAGAATTTTTGAATAAACGGAAAAATTGTCACTGTTTAAAGTGACTCATAGTTTCGCCATTTTACTAGTTTCAGTGCATGTGCTTTGGAAAATGGTAATAATTCAGTGTGTGTGTAAATATATTCGCTTTTCGCATAAATGAGTCAAAGTAGGAGAAAATGTGCCTGAAAATGTGAACCATAAAGGTGGTCGGACAAACTAGTACTTGATGAAAGTCTATTGTAAAAGCAAACAGTCGCACTTTTGTTGGAGAAGTATTTTTCGATACTAAATCCAAATCCGTGATCAGAAAAGCTCCTAGATGTCCAGAATTCACCCCAGGCAGCAAAAATGCACCCATTAGGGGTGAAATTGAATTTCGTATGCAAAATGCAAATGGAGCATGATACTTTTAATTCTTTTTACTACGTGGCGACACAAACATGCATTTTTTCAAAAAAGTAAAATATTGACTTTTAGAGCATTTTGTCTGAAAATAGACTTGAGTTTGACAATTTATAAATCAGTTACTTTTGCAGATAGATTGACAAGATTTTCATCAAAATAAGCTTCATATCCCGTAGTTTTCCGTTTCTCGTTCATTCGTTTTTTAAATTTTTTGCATGGTCAACAACTTGTATACTTTTATGGTTTTACTTCAAAAAAATTTGGTAATGCAACGCTTCAAAAGCATTATACCCAAAATAAAGGTCATAAAAGGGATGGGATATACTGTAAGAATAGATATTACAGTATTTTTGAGAAAGAGTCCTCAAAAAACCCTATATAGACGATGCAAATTCAAGAAACGCTAAATGACGGGAAATAATGAGAAATGAAACGCATACTGATAAGAAGCTTGCCACTCTATCTGCAAAAGTGTCCGGTTTACTAGCTGTCAAAGTTGAGTATCTTTTTGTACAAAATATCCTGCAGCTAAAGAAGTATTGATCTAAGCCTTACAGAATGTTATTTCAAACGTGTCCTTTCAAAGAAGCTTTCCGGAGTATACTAAAATAAATAACATATTTGAAAAATGATTGTGCTGCCACATGGCTGTTAATCAGCACTTGGAGGGCGGCATATTTTTAAAGCAATGAGTGTGTTTTCGCCTACAATTTCCGTACCTTTTTGGATTTTTATTATAGTAACGGCGATATTGCCGAGCACAGACTGACAGACTGAACCTTTATTTAGTCGGAAATTTTTGCTCGTACAGTATTTAAATTCCTTTCTCTACTCTCCGAGGAGACGGTTTCGACAGAAATGTTATGATAAAATAACCCAAGATGATAAGAAAGGGTGGACGTTTTGCTAGGATAGCAAAACTTAAATGTATTTTGCACTATTTATCTCTAGGTAGTGGTAGCGCTGGCCCTAATAGGGCTAGGGTCCTGTGCGCGTTTAGAGTACCTTCCACCAGGAAGGGGCGGTCAGCCTGGAGTATTTCCAGGGGCGGGGCCAGCGCCTGGTAGAGGGGGCGGAGCCGGCGGTGGTGGAGGTGGAGCCTATGGAGGCGGCGGAGGTGCTGGAGGAGGAGGAAGAGGTGGTGCCGGAGGAGGAAGAGGTGGTGCCGGAGGATATGGCGGAGCTGGTGGAGCTGGCGCTGGAGGTGAGTTGAAGAAGCCGCAGGCCGCAGTTTTATACTTTGTCCTGATTACAAAAGGCAGGAAGCATTAAATTGTATCAGTTTCATGTATTGTCTGACGTTCTGACATGATTATTACTAAAGTAGGATGAGAGGGACAGTTGGTGATAAAGTTACTCTCAAACCGTCGAGCACACAATTACAACACCCTCAATGTTGACGAGTATGGCAGAAACTCATGATAAATCTGCTCGACAGCCGGGAAATTAAAAAACTGAGCACCTTGTAATATTTCACACTTAAATTTGTTTAGCTTCGTGATGACTTGGTATAATTCGCTATTCCGAAAGTTCAAAATCTATAGAACAGAACTGAATAATTCCTTAATCCAGATAATGCATGTCTCGAAATAAAATTTCGTCAGAACTATCCTCTACGTTAAAATGATGAGTCTGTCATGACAGAAGATGTAAGTTTCTTAGAATTTGGAGGTCCCCAAATCCAATTAAATAAAAGAAACTCATATAAATACCGGTACTTAGAAGACCAATATAAATTTACTAGAGTTGTCTACTTATATAACAGGTTCATTGACGTGATATGCCGAAGAAATTTTTACCAACAAAATGCAAAACACCTTTGAATACAGAAGATTTTGTTATACATTTTATCTGTGTTTTGTGCAATGTAGGAAAGGTAGATGCTTGGAGATAGGTATTTAATTAGGCCTGATAATCAGATAAATTTGAAATACCTGAACCAATGATTTGCCCTTCCCTTTCCTTTTTTACCACTCACGTGAAACTGGCGAGGAAGTATTGTAGTCGCGAAAATTTTGGAAAATAAAATATTATGTTTTTTTGAATTTTAAATGGCATGTACACAACGAAAAACTAAGTCACTAATTTTGGTCAGTCTGTCTGTCGGTGTGTTCGCTAATTCTTGGACCGCCTATAACTTGGAAAGAACCTTGTGCTCGGATTTGGACAATGTTGCTATACGCCAAGGATGATGAAATTTTTGATACTCGGTATAGCAGTGTCGGAGAAACATGTCAAAAACGAAAAAAGTAAAACACGCTCAAACATTTTTTGACGTATCAGAGGATCCTGTTCATTTTATACATTTTAGGAGTAAAATATTTGGGGGTGGGTAGTTGTAGGAAGTCGTGAGGGTATATCTCAAATTTTTTATGTTATTATATTTATATCCTCCCAACCTTCGTAATTTATTATACCCACCTATTAGACATCTGGTATTACTGCTGCGTCTGACTGGTGACCGCATTAGGTATCGGGGAGAGGCGACATTGCCATACCGGCAGGGAAATAATGTCTAGGGACCAACTACTGAGTGTACCTCTTTGGCTGACTTTTTTCTCAGAAGGTTTAGCTTGCGCTAAATATAATCTTTTATCATCGGATAACGGTGTTGCGTGGGAAGTCCATAGTCAACCTACATGACGTAATTTTTTTATTTGTTTCCTACTATCTGCCTGATTTTTTTTTTTGGTGCTTTGGCAACCTAAGCTAGTGCGCCTACAAGACCTTTTCCAAGAGCAAAGGCTGTGTGGATCCCTCTATGACTGACAATTAAAGAAAAGTTCTTTGATTATGTATCCTAGCGTATTTCAATAAATGACTTCTTGACCTTTTCAGGTTACGGTGGAGCTGCAGGTGCCGGAGGAGTAGGAGGTTATGGTGGAGGTGGCGCCGCAGGTGGTGCTGGTGGTTATGGGGGAGCGGGAGGAGCAGGCGCCGGCGGTTACGGAGGAGCTGGAGGTGCAGGTGCTGGAGGATACGGGGGAGCCGGAGGAGCTGGAGGATATGGAGGTAGGGAATACGATATTTAGTAAAAAGTGACTGGACTTCAATTGTGGCCGCTGTAGTTCAGACGAATTAGCTACTCCCCCGATTTTCAAACAATTTTGGGGCAGTTTTCACGATCTTCGGCCCTCCTGCTGAAAATTCATGTGGTCGCCCATCTACAGCCATCTAGTTACAGTAACGGTCACTTAACAGTTACAACCAATCTCATTAGTATCAATCAGACTAACATCCTCAAACCCTCAGCTACTCCAATCTAGATCCGCCTCTAGACATAACTTCAATGTAACATCTGAAACTTGTCCGTTTTATGACGAAGATCTCCCATATTTTTCTGGTCAATCTAAGCTACATGTGTTGAAAAAAAATTAATTGTAAGCTTTTCAGTCACAAGGGTGACCTTCCTCAGTACAATGGCTTTGACAATGTAATTTAACATATTTGTCTTCGGATTTCTTGGTTGTAATCTGTTTTGTTGGAAGAGTTGTTGAATATTTAGGGCAGAACACCACAGAATACTTTGGGATTATGCTAAGATCTTACACAAAGAAACACACTGACATGGGAGAAAGCACAAGGAAGTGACCTCCATAATACTGAATGAAAATGGTTACAGTCCAAGTGTTGAAATTAAACCAGTTTGGCGACTGATTATAAAAAACGTCAAACAATTGCATCTCGAGCGGAACGAGGAACACGTCACAACCAACCACCCACCGGTCACGTCATCAAACGGTATAAATAGTCAAGGAAGGATGATGTTCACCAGTGCACCTGATGACGATTGAAGATCACATCAATCGAAATATTGTGAACCAAAAAACTTTATAGACAATGGAAGTGCGAGAAACAATATCTCATTATCATCAAATTTCAAACAACAAAGAGTCATCAGCCAGCGGCATAAAAATACAGTGTTTCTACTTCGCGTATATTCATGTAACAATAAGTTAATTTTTCCGGTAATACATTATAGCAAAGCTTTAAGATAAACGAGATCTTTGAGTTCCGATGAAATCGGTGTCGGTGCCGCGCAGTGTGTAGTTTAGCCTAGCTGTTCATTTACAATTAGATTCGAAGAAATAGAAATTGGAACATCCTTTTAACAATAACGAAGCTATCTGTTTGGTATTAGATTACGGCGAGTGCACTCAAGATTCTTCTGATACATCTTGCGTTTATTCAGATTGTTTTCCTGGATGTTTCGATCACGAGCTGCATATCTTTTTTATATCGTGCAAAGGCCGTCGTGATGTCCACAGTAGAAGACCTAGACAGCCCCAAATGCTGTCAATTTGGGAAGGAGTTAGCAACATATATATCTGGATCGAACGCCAACTTCTTCAACAGTATTTACACGGTAAATATCTGACAGGGCAGTAGTGGAAATTTGAATAGCAAGTACATTTCTCCAATTTTATTTCAATGCTTTCGCTGCTTTGCTATCATAAGCATTGTTATTTTCCTATGAAATGGGAAGTCTCAAATTTCAAGACACCCTGTATAGTTTTTCGCTGTACTGGATGGTCGCATGGTTAGAATTCAAAACATTTCCGGACCCAGAACTCTGGATTCAGCAATCTTCTTACCAGTCGATCGGTTTTGATATTATCCTTTGACTATAAGTAACTCTTCTTTCAAAAAAACAGTTTTGTTTTGTTTCTGGCGGTGTCACCAACAATCCAGTACTGATCTAATAACGAGTTCACTTCACTTGAAAGTTAGTACAGCTTCCCTGTTATCATTGCTTATCTTTTTGCCCATACTTGGTGCATTTTGGTTGTGAAAATGACAATATTTGAGAGCCTCAAGGGTTCTAAGTCCTCGTCTTGTTTTCTTTATCTAATGTGAACTTGGAATCGCAAAGTTCAAACGAATGAAATCACGAGCCGTGTATGAGTATAATGACGATTGAGTGCACAATATTTCTCTTGCTGTAACATATGAATGTAGACCAAACAGTTAGCTGAGGTCGCAAACGAACTAAACCACGCAGACAGAGTAGCATCAAATTAAAATTCCACAAAACGTATGTGATTAGCCTCGACACGTGTTTATTAACTAGGAATCCCACTTCTCAGATAAAACAGCCTCACCATGGGCTTGTTCCTTTGTCTATTGGTCATATAAAATACCTTCTCCTTGATACCTTGGCATATACTATACTTAAGTATGGCCAACCCTCCCACGTATAGTTTGGCCCGATATTTCACTTCCTTATTGTTTTTTTCGGTAACTTAGTAGTATAATTGCAATGACATCAAATCAAAAACTAAAGTAATAATACGCTATTTGAATTAAAATCTCATCCCAAATTTATTTTCCATAGCAATCATCTATTGTTTAGTCATGCTTAATTGTTATTTCGTGATATTTGACATGATTCATTTATCATATTATAAAATATTTGAAGAAAGAGCTTTAAACAACACAATAATATTAACATAGGCCAAAAAGTATGATAAATAATGCGTCTCAACTATTAATTAACCTTCTATATTTTGAAGAATATTATCAAAACAGAACATATATCTCGATTTCAAATTTCTTCGTGGACAGAAAAGAAAAAGACTACGGAAGAATGCTACAATACTATTCAAAGGTTCTTAATTAACAGACCGCCTGAAATCTCTCTCACGTCGATGAGCCGGCTCTCTGCTACTGATTTTCTAAAGGTAAAAGTAATATAAACAATTGTGTAGGAAATCAAATTCTTCATGATCTTGTTCTTATAAAGCTTTTCCCTATAGTCGATCACAGCTTACGAGAAATTTAAGGGTAGAGGTAGGCATGAGAATATTTTTTCTTACCTATATTAACACCAGCGTATTGTGGCCAATAAAATTCATTTCAAAAAACGTTTCTTGTACTCGTAAACAGCCTTACTGTTACGTGTAAGTGTGAAAGTCAAAACATTCATATCAGTCTGTTGACGATGTAGTAGATAATGGAATCACTCCCTTTCCATTGATCTCGTTAACACGGTTGCTAAGCCTACGCAAGGTAAGGCAAATGGTCATTAGACAGGCTGATGTGAATGACTTGCATTTTCATGATGAAGACGTCAAAAATTATAAGAAAATATTACATTTTTCATACTTAACGCGTAATAGTAGATAACTGAGACAATTTTAAAACGACCATAGCTGATGATTATGGAGTTATTAAATTTTTATAAGAATTTTTAACCTCTACTCTTTATACATTGGAATCATGAAGCTATCAATAAAATGTGTCAGATTTCTTTTGTGGACAATTTTATTCTCTATACGCTTAGATTGCTTATCACATGTAACTTTATCCTTGAATTTTTCGTAAACACAATGATTTCTATTACTTTTTACATAGGATCGATAGTTGACGAAGTATTTAAACAAACATGTATATCCAAATGGCGGCTAGTGTCTCAGTCCTGGAATCAGTTTGAATTTATCATTACAAAGAAGTATTCTAACGATATCAGTGAAATATTTTCTGTGGCGCTCTTGGTAAGAAAAAACACCTATTATCTGATGTATAATAGTCGTCGTGACATACCTCGGTGCTTAGGCTCCGCCTTTACGGCTGCTCCGGCATAAATAACTTTGATGTCAAACGATTCTCACAGTTCTATAGTTTTAGAATGCAACACTCTAATACGAGTATATCCAGATAGATATTACATAACAATTAGTAAGCCTTTATTAGTTATGATTTGAGATGGTATGATTGCAAACAGAATGATTCCTTGTTCTAAACATCGATGCATTTCTCTGACAATCTCGGTTTAATATCATCCATAGAGAAAACATGAATCAAAAATGTTGAGCAATCCAATGCGCGCAATGTAAAATCTCTAGGTACGTAACACGAGATGGTACTGATTGTCGATTATGATAGTTTTGTTTTTGGAGTGTCACGACTTTACCAAATAACCGAGCGTCTAGATGAATCACAGGCAGACCATTTTCTGCCTATTATGAGATAATAGCGTTAACTTTGACCATATAAAGAACGATAAATACCGGCTTCCTTCACGTTGGTTTCATAACCTCACGGAATTTTTATGATTATCCTCTTATTCACAGAATAGACGATTTTTACATCATCTTGAGTAATGACACGTATTTGCTAACATTGACTCTTCAGTCTTGGCTTTTTTTGTTTCAACTATGACGGTCAGATGTCATACGCAATTTGTTTACTACTATCGACAAAAGGCAAACAAATACGATAAAATTTGGCATGTATATTTCAACACGCATAATAGTTATAGGCTGAAGTTTTTCTATGGATGGATAACAAGGTTAAAAGTTCTGAGGCCTTAAACATTGACAAATGCATGCAGCGCCATGACGTAATGGTAAACGCTATGAGTCAACTAATGGTGTTTCTCTTATCTATGGATGTTGTGGTTGTCCGTTAGTGGTAGACGATCTCAGACTTTTGAGGGTGGAGGTACCACCCAGTGGATCTCTAAGGCGGGGGCAGAATATGCACATGTCACATGCACACGTGGTCCCTCGCTAAAGTGACGTCCCCCCTCTCCCTTGTATCCCCCTATACCGCCACGGTACACACGCGAATTTAGACTCTCGGATTACGTGGTGGCACAAGCATACAAAAATCACATGGAGAATGCCCTATTCAGTTTTTTATTGCAGAAGTAGCCCAAATCCATTTTAGGCGGTTTTGATTTTTTTCGGCTAATGATAAATTGGCAATTAAAGTAATGTAGATTGAGAAAGCTATGATAGGGATGTTTGTATATTAGAAACGAACAAATATTTTTTCAAGCAAACAAAGTGTTTTCATGCAGAAGTATTCAAATAGCACGAAAGAATGTAGGAATAATTAGGGGAAATAAGCGCGTTCTGCCTTGAAACTAAGTTTTTTCTGAAAAAGTAGGACCCAGAATACTTTCTGTATTATGGTATAGGGTAGCCCAGTTTTATAGATTCGGTTAATTCTGAAACAGTACCTGTTTATACAATTTTCCCCTCGCCAAGAAGTTAAGAATAATTTAAATACGTTTCAGACTAGAATATAACTTTTAATGTTGTTGGAATAATTTCGGATGAAAAACTTCTTTGTAAGCATGTAAAATAACCTTTGTTTTAAAACTGCACTTTGAAATAAAGCCTTGTAGTCGATCCTCGATGGTTATTTACTGCCTTTGTAAGCAGCAATTAAATGTCTTATGCAAATATTTAAGCAAACATTCAAAATAGGTATCAGTCTTATTTTGCATTCCGCTGTTCGCATTTGCTTTGTTCTGTAATAGGGGCAATGCTTGATTTGTTTCGATTATTTGTATTAAGCTATCACTGATCTTAGGTGTTTGTGTGCGGCTAGCTTTAATAGATATACCAACCTGTAAAAACAGTTTATTCCATCTTCTCGTACGCTTAGGGTATATTACGACAGTGCGAAAAATGTTGGCTTCCAAAATATTTAATTTCGATTCATCGGCGTAACCATATACATATAGGTGTGAGATTAGACAATTCTGGATGATAACATTTTTAGGTCCATCACAAGAAATGTTCCTGTTCCCTCCAATAAATCGATCTTTGAAACGAAGTTACTGGAACATTTAGTCAGCATCCATTTTTAAAAGAACATTTATGCAAGTTAATTAGAACCTAAGATCGTGTGGTTTTGATGCATTGACTGTTTTGTCTGTGAGGTATGTCGAGTTACTGGTATATGCCGAGTAACTAGAGGCATACAAAACCAAAATCTAACAATTATTACAAATCCTTTAAAACATTTTTGAAAACTGATCTTCTGGATCGCGCATATTCTTTTAGCCAGTCGCATCCTCAGCCCCCTTATGTTCGAAATCAGTGATAGTGACTCCTTTCTAGTGACTTCCTAGTTGCGTTCTAGTTCAAAATTCTAAAATCTATCATATTCAATTTGAAACAGTTTGTCGTATCAACATATAAATTAAAAAAAAGCTTTCAAGTATAATCTATTTGACCCATTCCGATCTCCAGGAGCAGGAGGAGCTGGTGGTTTTGGTGCAGGAGGTGCCGGGAGACCTGGAGCAGGATCAGAAATCGCCATTCTCAAGTACGAAAACGTGAACAATGGTGACGGAACATACCACTATCTCTATGAGACTGCAAACGGTATCAGCGCCCAGGAAGATGGTGATGCCAGAGGTGATGGGACAAATGCTCAAGGTAAAAAAAATATCAGGCTTAAATGTTTTAATTCATTGACTGTTGGTATGGCCAGATTTCCTATACTATAATTTATGAGAAAGTGATGTGCGTTATACTTTGCACTTTCACCACATTTTGTACCGATGGACGCAACATCAGGTTGTACATTCACCATATTTTGTAATAGCTTCGATACATTTCAAGACAAACCAAATCACAGTTTCTATTACCCTCATCCTAAAAGTATTTCAATCACCATGGGGTAAAATTGTCAAGAAATGAGATATGAGCCACAACTAATTTTGTAGAGTTGTGTTGTAAATTATGTCAATGACGTTTAGGAAGAATTCGAAAAGCCTTGATCAAATTAAAATTATTTAACGTAATGAGACCAAGGGCTGGTTTATACAAGATTTGCATAAGCGTAATAATAGTCATAACCATAAGAGAATCTGATGAGCTTCAAGATCATCCTTGTAATGCTTATGATTATGAATATGACAATTATATGCATTTAAACTCTTATAAGCCCGCCATACATTAATCGTATACTTCAAATGATCGACAATTTACTTTTAAAGCTATTTCTTTTACATTTCGTTTGATTTCACGAAACACACAAGAAATATTTTCAATATTCTTGTTTCCATAACTCACTCTATAAGGAAGTATGCTCCTACTTCGATTAAATGGTATTCAAAGTTCTGTTCGTACGAATTTTGAGTTAGTGGCCTATGTTTGTCCATTTCCAAGATAACAATACGAACGACGATTTATCGAATAATCGTATACTTAACACTCCCTTTACCTTTATTTATATGAGTATCTTTATCCGATAAAATCTTTTCAACGAGTGATTTCGGAAAATTATTTAGTATACTGCTTTAACCAGATGCTCTAGGTCATACCCTAGTTTTACTTTTCATTCAATCTGCGTATTGATTTGAGACCAGCTGCATTCCTTGATGGATAGATATCCATTGTATTGTAGATCAAAGATTTCTATAGAAAACAACTCTTCTATATTAAGGTTTACTAGTTGTTTTAATCTATCCTGGTAACATACTTAATTCAACTAGTTGGTTCCTTTGAAATGGCCACATACTATTTGAAGTCTGAAAATTCTATGTAATATATTAGGAGAGCAATTCCAACTTTCCATAGCGTTACTTCACGAATATTCATGTTTTGCTCTTAACTAGTATCGTCAGTGGAATAAAAGTATACATTACTCGATATCCTGGTAGCGTAACATTTGCAGACCTATGTTTACATTAGCTTCTTTTTACAATCGCTATAGCTTGAAGCTTCGCTGTGGAACAAGTGCCAAGTTGCTTATTCTGTATTACAAAGCTCTCCATTTGTACGTTTTCCCTTTCACATAAGACCTTTAGAGATAGTGATGTAATGAAAATTCGCATCCGCAGTCATGAAATTTAAGCAAATATTTTGCAAATGTGGATATCAAAAAGATAATATGAAGACAATATTACGTACTTTTGAAACAAAACAACAAACAAACAAGTTTATTTTCTGCTAGAAAAGCATTCAAGAGTCAAGCAAAAACTTTTAAATAATCAGGTATTGCCCATTAAAAAACAAGCTTTGTTCGTTTTGTTAGTGGAATGAGAGAGTCCAGTGAATGTCTGGCTCACTTCAGTGTACAAAAGGAACACCTGAGCTAACCTTCCTTGATCAGAGCATAACCTACAAAATGACATTTTTTTCAATGTTTCATAGAGTTACACGCAAGATCGCCGCAAAAATAATCATCATAATCAGATCATTTTATTCCAGGATCGTCAAAGAATGAAATAGAATCTGTCAATGACACACAAAAAACTGAAATGATAAATATAAGTTCAAGTTACAACTTTTGTGAATACATACACAATTAAACTACACAGATAAGAGTATAAATAACGGATCGCGCCAAAACAAAGCATCTTAGCAGACAAACAAGCAGGACTAGACAAAAAAATCAACTTACATGAATTGAATTATCAGCAAGGTATTAATTAACACTGTGTAAAAAAATGTAACTGTTAGCAAAGTTAAAAATTTAACTACTTGGTGGATTTTTGCAAGTAGTCAAAATAAATGCTGCAAGTAGGGACAAAAAATCACCCAGCTGAGGTTAGATAAATAGCTTTGGTAAAAAGAACATACAGTAAACTGAGCAAACTGAAGTGTGACTATATCGAAAATGAATGCAGCTATAAATATGGGATAACAGTTCAAGCAATTAAAAATATTTCACAGACGAGATACTTATTTGCTTTTTACCAATTGTTTAAAACAGCAATCTGCTAATCAAGCTGAACTAGAGCAACACTGAACTTCAAAAAGAAAAGATTTGCAGTCTTCTCTCATTTAGGTATATTTTGATGTGGTGTATAGAGAAGAATGACTGAATATTTCATACGCTTTCGTTACTTTTCTAAAAAGAGGTACAAAACCCTATCCTATGTTTTCAGGTGGTTTCAGTTACACAGCCCCAGACGGCCAAGTAATAACTATCCAATACACAGCCGACCAGAATGGTTTTGTGCCCCAGGGGGCTCATCTGCCTACCCCTCCCCCTATCCCAGAAGAAATCCAGAGAGCCATAGAGCAGAATCTCGCGGACGAGGCCCGAGGTATCGTGGACGATGGACAGTACAGGCCCGGAGCTGAGGAAGGAGGTTATGGGGGTGGAGCTGGAGGTAGAGGAGGTGCTGGAGGATACGGTGGTGCTGGAGGAGGAGCTGGAGGATATGGAGGTGCGGGTGCAGGAGGTGCTGGAGGATATGGAGGTGCGGGTGCAGGAGGTGCTGGAGGTTATGCGGGAGCTGGAGGTGAGTAGATTGAGTAAAACGTTCTCGACAATTGCATCAAGGATATCTAGATCGGGAGGAAAGTTAATCTCTGCATGATAACACAATACAGTCATTTGGATATACAGGGTGTTCCAGTTTATTGTTGCATAACTTTAAGATTCGATAGAACTTTTAAAATTAATGCATAAAGTCTATATAAACATGGGTCGAAAAATGCGTGGCTTCCGAAATACAGGGTGTTTAAATTTACTTTCTAAAATATTTTTTTTTAAATATTTCGAACAATATTTGATGTATAACAGTGAAAACTGGTATACAAGGGTTTTGTGGTACGACAAAACGAACCATGGGCATAGTTTTGTTGTAGCCGCTAGAGGACGCTCTCTACTGCACCTGCAGTGTATTAAAATGACCGAAAATTTTTTCTTAGTGCAATTTTTTGCTTTTTGAATAAAAAAACAGATTCTTCGCACTTTTCTACATAAAAAAGCTCTCTTGTGAGTTTTCGTTATAGTTAGCCGTTTTTGAGATATTTAGATTTTTAAGGTTCGACGCATTTTTAATTATTTATGGGAAAATAATATTTTTTTTTACATTTTCGGTTTGGGCATTACAAGTAATTAAGATGATAGTTTAGATTGTGTTTTTAAAGCAATAATTCCTAACTCCAAATAAACACAAAAAACAGAATATAAATTAGTTTAATTTTCCAATATTATTTTTAACAAATTAAATTAATTATTTACAACTAAAATGCTATTGGATAGTTAGGACAAACATACAAAATCTAAAGTAGTTGCTCGAAATGTAAACCCAATTGTTCAATACACAATTCACATCTACGAATGGTCGAACGTGGTATAGCATTATTCAAATAAGGCCTTATTTCATCATATGCATTCCTGGTTCTGTCTATTAGTATATCTCTTGTGGTTACAGGAGTCTGGTACACTTTTCCTTTTAGAAATCCCCACACAAAGAAATTTAATGGATTTAGGTCAGGGGATCGTGGAGGCCAGGCGACTGGTCCTCCACGGCCGATCCATCTTTCTGGATCATTTTCGTCCAGCCAGTTTCTAACTATTCTCGAATAATGAGCTGGACAACCATCAAGCTGGAACCAGGCCAATCTTCTTAAATCTAACATAACATCATCCCACATATTTGCATGTTCAGCCTTCAAAAATTCCAAGAAGGTCGCAGCATTTAATCTTGCAGGCAAAAGGTAGGGTTCAAATAGTCGATTAAAGTAGATACCAATCCACACGTTCACACTAAATTCATGCTGAAAATTTCTTTCCCGAACTGCATGCGGATTTTCATGCGACCAACTATGTTGATAATGAAAATTTACCACTCCACGTCTAGTGAAGCATGACTCATCGGTCCATAAAACGTTACTTAAAAGCTTCCTATTATTATCAGTTCTATCAAGAATCCACTGACAAAATGTGATTCTTCGTTCTCCGTCCCCTGGCTGTAGTCCTTGCACAGGTTGCAAATGGTAAGGACGTCTATGGTCATTTCTAAGAACACGGTGAACATGGCTTGCTGAAATTCCCAAAAAACCAGAAACTCTCCTAACACTTGTGGTCGGATCTCTATCAAACTCACGCATAATCGTACGGATAAATGTGCGCTGACGACCATTTATGTTTTGATCCCTTTGGAGATTTCCAAAACCATTTTCAATTATTTGGCGATGCACTCTTACAAATACTGAGCGAGTTGGATGTCGTCTGTTTGGAAATCTTCGTGCATATTCTCTGACTGCTTCTGCTGCGTTTCCATTTACAAAGCCATACACAAAATGAATATCCGCTAACTCTTGATTGGAGAATAAAAATTGCATTTTTATAAAACTTACAAAAAAAAAAACAGGTAAAAGAAACTAAATTTCGTGCATTCACAATTGCAAAAAAACGTTTCAGGTTTCAACAGACAACAAAACTAACTGTCAACTAATTGACGTTTAACCTTATTCTGCTTTCAATTTCAAAAATATTTGCAGGCACAGCCTACTTCTAAAAATTATCGAGATACTGACTTTTTAACGTTATTTTATCATAAATAATTAAAAATGCATCGAACCTTAAAAATCGAAATATCTCAAAAACGAATCTATACGAAAATTCACAAGGGAGCTTTTTTATGTTGAAAAGTGCGAAGAATCAGTTTTTTTATTCAAAAAGCAAATTGCACTAAGAAAAAAATTTCAGTCATTTTAATACACTACAGGTACTGTAGAGAGCGCCCTCTAGCGGCTACAGTAAAACTATGCCCGTGGTTCGTTTTGTCGTACCAAAAAACCCTTGTATACCAATTTTCACTGTTATACATCAAATATTGTTCGAAATATTTAAAAAAAACTATTTTAGAAATTAAATTTAAACACCCTGTATTTCGGAAGCCACGCATTTTTCGACCCATGTTTATATAGACTTTATGCATTAATTTTGAAAGTTCTATCGAATCTTAAAGTTATGCAACAATAAACTGAAACACCCTGTATAATAAAATTGTGAATGCAACTATTTTCGGCAAAATAGTGTTCCTAGATTTCTCAGATCATCATAGAATCAATTTTGTCTTTAGACATGAGACAGATGGATGACGGTGGGGCCTCTGTACTTTTCCTCCTGGTATTTATCAATAGTCTGACCTGGAGAACGACTTTTGTAACAAGTAAATGCAGGTCCTTGAAAAATAAAGACACATCACCCACTTTATATTACATAGTTACCTCTCTCGTTTTCAAAACGGCCTGCTCAACGACAACTCGCCTTTCGACGTCAAACAGATGCAGAACTTTACTGTCGCATCAGCAAGCAAAAAAATCAAAAAGTTTAAATGCCATATATTCCAAATCGCCTAATTCTTTGAACCAGTTAATAGCTATAAGTTCCTTGGTGTTCAGGTGGCGATAGTATGACTGGATCAGTTGCAAATTGAAGCGGTCATGTCAGCATATGGTTCAATATGAGCTACCATTCTCTAATGTTTTGTCTTTGGTAACTCTACCTAACCCCATCTTTTTCGTTTTCAGGAGCCGGCGGGGCTGGTGGCTACGGTGGTGCAGGAGGTGGCGGAGCCCCAGGCACAGGCTACGGAGCTCCCGCTTTCCGGCCGGCGGGAGGCGCAGGAGCGGGAGGGGCGGGAGGTGCTGCCGCGGGCGGTGGTTACAGGTACTAACGCAGTACCTCTGCTGTCAGCCATAGGAGCCTCGTTGTAATATAATTCAATTGTGCATGTGTGTTGTATATAGGTATATTATTTAAATTATATGTGAATGATGCGTATACTATGTATTTAATAAAAAGATTTTTGTACGTGGAACTTGCAGTTTTATTCAGCAAAGTAGGTAATAAGCCAGCAGCCTGTCCACACACTTGCTCATTGTTTATTGAAAAAGCATCTGAGCCTGGTTAAAAATGCTGGATAGTAAAAAACGAAAAAAGCTCGGATTATAGATCCATAGGTTATCAAGCTATGGGTCATTTAAATGAGCAAGTAAGCTCTTTACCTTTTTGAAGGATTGTACTCAATTCGTTAGGTCTTGATGTTATAGTATTATTGTAAGAGGGTATCCGGAACAAATTAGTTCAATGATCTGGCGCGGTATACCATCAGAATTTACCCCTTTGGTATTGCCCCATTGATGTCGCTACGTTTAAGCCTGCTAGAAAAACACTTCAGACACAACGGTACTCTACATTGTGGAACTGGAAGTAGATATCAAATCTTCTTCTTCCTCCGCTATCGAGAACTTCAAACATTGATATACACGTATAAAATTTACAGGATACGGTATAACGACTTTGGGCACTGGATCAGGCTAATATTGTTATTGTACAGATCTGCCAAAGTGACGTGCGTTTTACAAAATCTAGTCTAGCTGTTCTGGATATCCGCTATTTTGGTGGACATAGAAAATATAAATATAATGTATTGTCTCTTGAAGGGATGACGTTTTATAGTTAGTAATGTAAATAGGAGTTGTAGGACTAAGTTAACGCTTCTTAATTGCTTAATTACTACTGTTGTATACAGTATCTGAAACATAAGACGGACTTATGTCAATATAATAGAAATGTGCCATCTTTGGAATCGCCCCCAGACATAAAAAAGTATCAAATGTATTCTAATAGCGTCTCTCTAGATGCTAACTCGATGGTTTCTGAACAATGGATTTTAAGAAGGTTAATCTAATTTTACGGATCTTAGCCATCTCAAAACTCAGCTTACCAAACTCGTCTTAACTTGCAATCTAGCGAACCTAATGTAACGCTATTTTAGGTAATTTACAACTAGGCCAATGTAATATCTAAAACTTATACTGTGTCCTGACAAACCTGCATGTTTTTCTGACCGCAAGATATAATGACAGAACAGTTCAGGCTATTGTTGCAACACACTGTATAGTAGCAGCAAAATCAAATTGAAGACATAAATATAAAATACATTGAGAGCGTTTATTCAACGTATAGCGGAGTGGAGCTTTCATGCTGAGTAGCTGCGGTCGAGGAATAGCAGTGATAGTTCGCAATATTAGCTATCAAATCTGATGTCCAAATGCAAGCTACCGTCAAGATGACAAAACTATCCAATGGCTATTGCTATTCAGCAGCATTTTGATGGCTGAACGCTCCCATTGTCAATGTAATTTTTAATGTTGTACTTTGAAAAAGACCATCTAGGGGTCCAGAACGTCAATATAGAGCGGACATAAAATAATAGAGTTTTACAACCACTGTAACATCAGACGCTTAGCTTGCGGGTTTCATGCTGATAAACCCTCATGTTTGTCTGAACGAATCAAACCTCTTTATGGTACGACGTTTCGGTCCCAGCAGTGACCTTTTCAAGTACAATTGATACTTCTGATATATTTTATTTATCTGTTTTCTAGGCGACACTCCTTTTTTTCTTTAATTTTCACATTCTTGTATACTGTGTTACTACAATAATTTTCAACGGTCCAGTAACATGCTGATAGGGCCCGGAGCCATCATTGCCATTTTAAGATGGATTAAGTTGGTACTTCCGCTCTCAAAAGGACGCCCAACCCCTCAAAGTATCTATTGCACTTGAGAAAGCTCACCGCTGGGATCAAAATGTCGTGCGCTAAAAAGGAATTACATATATGTGGCTTGATTCAGCCAGACAAGCATGACGGATTTCACAATCAGGTTCTTACTACGGACACAAGCAAAGTTACAACATTTGAAAGAATTTTCGCCTTTTAAATAAATCTATGGACGCTTGAAACCAGTCAACTGATAATGATACAAACGTTGATTGACGAGGCGCATAACTTAAAAGACATTCAGAAGTACGATAAAGAAAATAGAGCAACATTACCAGCTTCTTTCAAATGATTACCTCTATAAAAGAGTGTGTATAGCAATCTAAAATGTAACTACCAACAAGAAAGCGAACATACAGCATATCATATGACAATAATTTAAAAAGTTATGGCTTTCCGGATTTGATCAAAATTTTGTGTAATTTCGGTTGTAATCTCGGCTGATTTTCTGACGAAATCGAAACTAAACCGAAACTCAGAATTTCGACCGAAACTGACCGAATCCAAAAGTTCGGTTGAAAACTAGTAGTAACTTTGAGTCAAAAGTTGATCAAAGTCCGAAGAATATAGAGGCATCCAATATTGCTGACAGACGATCAGATCGAAGAAAATACATTGCATGTCTTTTCATGACATGCAAGTGTATTTCATATTTTTGAAAAATTATAATGTCGCTTTTTCCGTCCGACCAACAATAGATCATCCGTGTACAGCACTGTCTCTTGCTTAATGGCAATCATCAGCACTGGTTCTTGCTTATTGGTTATCATCAACACGGTCCAAGTCTCTACGTGTGACTGCGAACGAAAGTCGAGCATTATACGAGTATATTATATTGCCAGAGTCAGCGGCATCAAGCGGTGATACAGATGGCTCTGCTGTCGACGCGAACTGAGATACTTTTACAGTTCCAATAGACAGCTGCTGTTTCTTTCCATGTGATGACTGATGACACTTGTGCTGACGTTTTACGATAGATACAAAACCCAAAGTCGAAATTTTCCCTATTGCAGCACTCTTCCAAGTATTGACGTGGAACTCTGAAAAAGGTTATATTTTTCGACATGTAACTGCGAAAAGTCTGACACTTGACTTTCATATAATTCACTATGCTACGTCCTCTATCGCTACAAGAAGAACTTTTTGCTGACCGTCTATGTATCTTATGCAACAGTTTATAATCGATTGAATTTTTCAATTTTCGCCTAAATAAATAAACTCGCGGGCTGAGACAACTTATAGCAACCGGGCTTTATGGAGTGTGTGAAGACGACGACAAACTGAGATAGCTAGACTGTTGGACATACAAGTTTGGTGCAGAGCAACATTTTGTCTAAGCAATTTTCTTCTTAACATAATGTATGAAATTAGTTAAAAAAAAGTTATTGCGAAATCGAACATCGAGTTATTGGGAGATCGAACTTTACAAATAAATTGCTGGCCCCATTAACTCCAAAAAAAAGTCACAACCATGAACGCACCCCAGGAGGTATAGGGGGCATCCTTTACTAATTGGAGGTGGCTTAATGATCTTTCACGAGCGGAAATTAGTCTATTCCATATATGTACTCCAATTCGACCAAATATTTACATAATGTCAAGGACTATCGCCATCATATCACGAATAACTACAGAGAAAAAATTGTTTGGCATGGAGATGATATTTAAAGTATGTAATTATCTCGACTTTATTTCAAGGGTCATTGGAAAGCAACCTTGCTACGTGATGCGTCTGATATGTAATATTGATGATTACAGATTTGGGTGAGATAATTATATGAATATTGAGACATGTCGTCACCCGACCTGACTGCACTTAAACATCTGGTATCTGGGATATTTTTGAATTATACACAGCATTCTGAAGATTTTTATCCGGTTAGTAGAAGACACCTCAAGCAAAATTACTGAACAAACTGAAACACGTTTTGTTTAAGTCCTCCAGAAGGCGTTACACAAAGTTGTTTTTATCTGGGTTGTGAGCAAGTATTAATCATTTGCATCCTGCAGGATATTTCAGTTAATGAGATGAAAAGACCCCTGTGGAATCAATTCTTTGGCATACTAGAATTAAATGCTGTGTGGGGAATGCTGCTCGTAGAACGATTCTAAATTCTGACAGATGTTCACGTTTATCAAATGAGTTTGTGCATTTTTTCTTTTGTTCCTGAATTGTAGTTTTTCTTCAATAATCGTTAATAGTATTATTAATTTTGGCAAAATACACCTATTATGATTCCTAGGTTCTTCATATCATCGTTTCACCTCCAAGCTAACTTCGTTCTTTACAGATGAGACTGATAGACGACGCAACGAGACTTTTTCTCTCGATGATGACTCGATGAGCGAATGTTCTATCTATCAGTATTCCCAGAAAGGTAAGCCTATAACGCTGACCTTCTTCTCTAAAAGTATAAGGAGGCTCCTTTCAGAGCAATATTGACTTGACGTCTACCGATGCCCCGCCTTATCCAGCACGCCAGTTTGTACGAGGATCCAAAGTAGGGTCATGCCCATTGAAGCAAATTAAATTCTGAAGAGGAGTGGTCCTGCATTGTATCTGATTTCGTCCTCAAATATGCCAGCTTCGGCATATACAATGGGATTAGACAGGGTAATTTGCCCAGACTTTTGTTTTTTCACATAGCAAGCAATCCCTTGATGAATATCAAGGAAAATTTATTTCCAGTTGGATCGAGAATAACTACTGCAGCTGTCATTCAGCATGGTGGCGGAGTGGTAGACGCTACGGGTCTACTAATCAGTCGCCGTGAGCTGCGCGGGTTCGAATCCCATCCCATGTCCTTGGCTATGGATGTTGTGATTGTCCGTAGGTGGTAGATGGTCTCAGACTAACGAGCGTGGACGTACCACCGGGCGGATCTCTAAGGCGGGGCCAGAATATGTGCATGTCACATGCATACGGGTTCCCTCGCTGGAGTCCGTGTGACGTCCCTGCTTTCCACTGCAGCCCCCCATATCCCCATTGAACTACTGGGTGTTCAGGCCTTAGGCCTGCGTGGTTGCTCAAGTATAAAAAAATTACTGCATCTTTTAGACAAAAATTGCGATTTCGGAATATGTCCAACATGTATACTGCGTTATAAAATTTGTCTACCTGTTGATATATATCTACCTATTCATAGTACTATAATTTGTCGAACAACAGAGTGCCAAACGTATACAGTTGTGTTATGCTTATTGGCAATTATCAGCATAGTCTACGCAGGATTCTAGGAAATACAGCGAA